ACAGCACATATTTCACAAATTCCAAGGAATTTCTCTTTACATAAAAATTCCAGATTCAACTGTTGTATAATTAAAAAATAAAATAATCAGTATCTAATATAAAATCTTGTACAACAAATTTTAGGTTCGGTTGATCATTTAATTTTAGACCTGTTACATGCGCTATTGCCGCCATCAATTAGACATTGCTCCAGTACCACGGAATTAGATTGTAAAAAACGAAAAATTTTGAAATCAACTATAAAGGATTCGCAACAGTCGCTTTTAATTGAGGTTTACACTCCAAACAATATCGATCCAGCAGTTGACGAGCTCTCCGCTAAATTAAGAAAACAGGAACAAACCCTTCAGCCAGTAATTATTTTTAATGTAAGTGACAACTCATATTTAGTATACTACGACGACATTAAGTACAAATTTGATCTCTTACTTCCCGCACTTGACACTTGCTTTAAGGTTTTTTTTGTTTTAAATTTAAAGTACTCTGAAATTTCAAAAGCCGTTTGAATTTTTATTTAAAAATTTTTTTTTGAAATTGATTCTACTGAAAGGGTTTCTCCGGATATTTTGGTTTTAATAAACGAGCTTAATAAAAATTTGTTAATTTGCTATATATGTAAAACTAGTTCATTTAGTGAAGTGCAAACTCTAATTTATCACTATAAATATTTTCACAATTTACTTCCATCACATTACTGATGATTATTTTTGTCTTAATTGTAAACAAATCTATTCTTGCAAAAAGATGTTAAATTTTTTAGAAAAAGAAACTTCTAAACCCAATGCAACAGAAATTCCTTTCACTTCTAAAAGTTCACCAAATTCATTACAATTAGAAGATGAGAACCAAAAACAAAATATAGAACAATTTCAATTCTGAAAAAGTATGATCGAAAATATTGCTATCGAATTAAAATGTAAATTTTATGGTAAACAAAATCTTTCTCGAAAAATTGTCGAAGAAATTTTGAATGATTTTACTGATCTTTTACTTAAAACACTCATAGGAGAAGTAGATAAATCCTTTTGAAGACATCAAAACATTTCATCAATTTAAACAAATCTTAATATTGAAAGATTTGTATAAAGATCCTTTAGAGTTCTATATCAATAGTGAAATTTCAGGCAGGAATCCTTCTTTTAAACCTAAGGACTCCAATGGGGTGCTATTAACTCTCCAATTTCAATTTCAGAAATTTTTGAATTACCTGGAGTTTTCGAAAATATGAAACAAAATGTTGAAATGATAAATGAAAATTCAAAAAGCATTTTATAACTAGTGAACTTTGGCTCGAAAAAGTTTCTATGCTTCCTAAAAATAAGCACTCGGCTGTATTTCCTTATTTCTTATTTTTTGATGACTTTGAGTCGAGTAATACTTTGGGGTCACATGCAGGTCAACACGCTTTTGGTGCAGTTTATTACAGCTTGCCGTGCTTGCCACAGTGGTTGTGTTCCGAATTGGAAAATATTTTTGTCGCAATGCTTTTTTATAGTAAATATAAACGTTATGGTATTAATTCTATATTTTACAAACTTGTTCATGAGATAAAATTGTTGAAAGAGGAAGGCATTATAATAAAGTTAAAGTCCGGTCGTTTACAGAAAGTTTACTTTGTGTTAGGCCTTCTATTAGGTGATAATATTGGATTAAATACACTTTTAAGTTTTAGCAAAGGATTTAATTCAAGGTACCCTTGTCGCATTTGCAATTTCTCAAAATCTGATATACAATTAAAAGTAAGTGATAATTCAAACTTTTATAGAACGATAAAACAATATGACTCTGCTGTGTTACTTTACTCCGAATTAAACAAACGAATATTAAAATCAGGAATAGGAGAAGAATCTATCTTTAACGAAATTAAAACTTTTCACGTTGTGCAAAATTGTTCAGTTGATATAATGCATGATATATTTGAAGGAGTGTGTCACTACGTTATTTGTAAATTATTATTGCAATTCATAACCGTTGATAGATTTTTTACCGTAGATACCTTAAACAACAGAGTCTCACTTTTTAATTATGGAGACACTGAAATAGGAAATTTGTGCTCCATTATTAAAACTGAACATTTACATAAAAACAAAATGAACATGTCCGCGAGAGAAATGTGGATATTTATTCATTTTTTACCTTTAATAATAGGAGACCCTATATTTGAAGGTAATCAATCCTCACTGGAAATTAGTTATTTTATTAAATCAAATGTAAGACATAATTTTAAAATGCAGTTTTGAAGAAAAGGATATTGCAACACTAAGTACTTTAATTTCGTCGCATCACTCATTATATATTGAAATGTTTAATGAAACTTTAGAACCAAAATTTCATTTTGTGACCCATTATCCTTTTGTGATGAAAAGAAGTGGGCCTTTACATTATGTTTGGTCTTTCAGATATGAATCTAAACATAAAGTTTTCAAAAGTTATAAACATTTCTTTAGCCATCAAATCTTCTCTCATATTTTCTAGTCAATAATTTCAAAATCCGCAGTTTGTTTTCAAAAATCCAGTTTTTATTCTGAATTATGCAACACCGTTTTTTCATCGTCATTAGAAAACAGTTTTTCGTACGAATTTATAATTTATCACAAAATATGTTACAAAAAAGATCAATTATTACAAATTTCTAAAGAAAGTAAAGTATATTCCATAAAAGATCTATTTCTATATAAAGAAATTTCTGTATTTGTTGTATGTAAAAAATTATTACTTGAATATTCTGCTCATTTTCAGTCATACGAAATATTAAGTGAAGATGACCAGTTATTAGTAATCGATATAAAATTTTTCCATGGGCCGCCGATTCATAGTAATTTTTCCCCTAACGGCAAACTTTATATAAAACTAAAACAATTTTAGACGATTCGAATGTATTCGCTTAATCGGAAGTTTTTTAAAATATTGTCTTCTATGTAGGTGAAAAATGTGGAATATTATGTTAATGAATTAAAGAAATTAAGGCTATTTAGATATGAATACTTTAATATCTAAATATGAAAACTTCTTAATTGAAATTTTCTTGGAGTATTATTGTGGTTTTAGGTTTGCACTTACATAATATATTTTATTTTTGCGTTATTTGTCTAACTATGTAAATTCTATGAAAGCCAAGTATCCTGGAGATCCTAATACTAGTAATGTAATTAAAGTTTTTAATAATAAACAATGTGTTAAAATGAATAATATTTTTGTTAAATTTTAAGAGAACTATTATTACTTATTAAAATTACTAGAGTACATATTTACAACAAAAAGATAGTAAAAACTTTGATATTACATAATTATGTATTTGTTTCTAAAAATATTTGAAAATACACAGTTAAATAACATTGTATTATCTTATTCAAATAAAGAAATTAATAACATTTCAAAATATAAAACTTTTAATTAATTCCTCGAAAATGAGACACAAATTATTTAATATTTATTTATATTTAAAATTGAAAAATTAAATTATAAGCTATAATTAATAACTCAATTAATGATTTTGAATAATTTGCACATTTTTTTGAGTAATTATATTATGCAAAAATCATTATATAATTCAAAATCGCTATTTGAGTGCTATGTAGATTGTAATTTTACAATTTTAAATGTAAATTTATAACGAAATGTAGTAGAGCAACACCTTTAAGTGATAATTTGATCACACAACATTGTTATTGCACAACTAAACGTTGCTGGCCGAATATTAGAAATATTACATTAACTACTTATTAAAACACAATAATGTTGCAGTAACAATGGAAATAGTAACTTTTTCTTCTCAAAAATTGACTATTATTCGTTTTCAATATTAAACACATTTCATGCTTGACGCAAAATCATACACGTTTTGTGTTTGATTTCAAACATGGTGTAAAACAACATAAAGCTAATTTTACTCGCAACGTGGCGCTCTACTATTTTACTTACAATTTTACCGGATGACACTATATCTAGAACCCCCATACATATTAATGCATACCTTCAGGATGACACCATATCTAGAACCCTCATTAACTCACTACTGCTATAAGTTTAGTTATTCCGTTATAACTACTGTTGAATTTCCAAATAAAGATGCATAATGCAAAATTTTTTTATAATATGCTTTTATATATCTCCAAAAAATACCAAAATAAATTTAGGGATGGTACTAATAGAACTAGTGGAAGAATCATATAATTCATGCTTATACACATCAAAATGAAATATCATACTTATGTACATATCAAAATGAAATTACTTTAATACTTATTTCTCATATAAAACTATAATATTCGCTTTATTATGATCAAACTCTGTTTATTCAAAAAATATTTTTATCAATATTATTATCGAAATTTTGCTCAAGCAAAAATTTTAAATCTAACAGATATCCGTATTTTGATACCTCATATGACCTTATTCGAATTTTATTTCAGATCACACTTTTACAGTGAAGCCATGATGTACTCAGAATTGCATTGTTCGTTTTAGAATTCATTTTCTGGAGGTAAATTGTAACATGTTCCACACTCAAAAAGTGTCCGAAAAAAAAAGTTATAAAAAGTAAATAAAAGTATATTACATTTAGTAACGTGTTTAATATAAAAAGATATAATTAGGTAACATCAAAAGTAATTAATTATGTATATCAAAAATTCTATAGTGAACACCAACATTGTGGTTCAAATTTTTACTGTTTTTGCTTAAATTTATAAAATTCATAGTCGTAACCATCTGAAACAGAACTATTTAAATATAATCAAAAATTTGTTATGAACGTATATAATTATGGGACAAAGTGGGACAATATGTATTTGCCGGCAACCTTTCAGTGCTACCAACCAAAATTTCATTTTTCAATCAAATTTTTTAAATAAGGTTTTCGAATATTTGAAAGCATAAACACTTTTTTCAAAAAAACCTGAATAACTAAAGTATTACTTATTATTATCAAATACATACATTTATGTACATAATCCAAATATAAACAAAAGATAAAACAAATTAATTATAAATATCTTACCGAATTCAACATATAATTTTGGCCGTACATTATCCTGCCAGGCACTTAAATTTCCGATTGCGAATAAACTCAAAATAAGAAATAAATTTAGATAAAATACAAAAACTTTCCACAAAATTGTTGAAGTCATTTTGTATATGCCTTTTTGTTTTAATATGTTTTCCCTTTTTCCTAGTTTAAAGTACGTATATTTATAAATTGTACAATTGGTTGCACCAAAAAGTCTTATATCGTATGTAAATATATGTAAATTTATATATCCACATATACAGGTATGAAGCGCAGGATTGGTAATAGAACACTAACTGCATACATAAAATGGGATTTACTCAATACAGATTTTCCTTTTAGTTCCAATCGTTATTTGTATTTTCTTTTTTTCGTTCTGATTTTAGTAGACAATGTGGAAACGATAAGACTGTTCTTGGTTTTTGTGTTGTATTTCACTCTTTATTAAATCATATGTCAAAAGACGCGATCGAATTGTTTATTGGCTCTATTTTTAATTTATTCTTTTTGTGGTTTATCCATATTTTGTTTAAAATTACGCTTTTTGTTTTACTTCACTGGTTTTGGAGTACAAACTTCTTTCAAGAAGTGTTGAATTTGTATAGCCCTGTTGTATAAAAATATGTTATAATAAGGTATGTTATTCTGATTGCTTTCCGATCTTTCTTACAAAAATTCTATTTATAAGTTTTTTCCCTCCATTTACTTAATTTCTTTTTTTGCTTCTAAGACACTCAACTCTTTTTTTAGTCACAACGTATTTTATCCTTCACGTATTTTATCCTTTTTTTATTATTTTGATGTGTATCTCATTCATATATCACTGTTATAGCTACACTTATTTTTGTTGTTTTTGAGTATTAATTATTTTGGTAGCAGTATAGGTTTATTTTCTCTTCTTTACATTAATTTTTATATTATTTATTCTTTAATTCTTTCCTTTTATAATTTTTGCCTTCTTACAACATTACTAATATTCACTATTTTTCATCGAATAACATACTTTGGTGTTTCAATACCACAAGTAATGAAATGTGGGTTAACGTTTAACACTGAAAAAAAAAGAAAGAAAGAATATGATTATGTATATAAAAATATAAATTTGTATAATTAAAATCATCAACATTACACTATAATAATTGATAGGATTATTTCTAAGACTCCATATAATGAAAATAAAAAGTATAGTTCCTTTGATATAAATATATTATGCTATATCTTCACAGTTTTAGTGTCTTATGAAAATCCAACTACAATCCCAGAATTGGAACACAGCTTAAATTGGATCACGTATCTTAAAATATGTATCATTTAAAATTTCATTTGTAGCTAACTTTATTTACGTTTTATAAAACACTCATGATAACTATTTCCTAATATTCATAAAAGAATTATATTCTTTTTATTCATTTGCCGATTAAGAGACGTGCAATGACCACATAAAATCAGCTTATTCTTGACATTGGTGTCAAGAATTCACATAAAGCAAACGGGAAATGTATATACATATTTAATGTCTTTATATCTAACAAGTCCCAATACTCAATTTTTTTTACGAAATGTTACGAATTTTTGGCCTCGTTGTTGGTTTTTTCTTTAAATGCCACTGTTCGTGTCATATTTTTTATTATTTTTTTCTTTTTTTTTTTACGTAAAAAAGAGATTAATATTTTAAAAAATCTCAGGATATTATACACATTTTTTAAAAAGCTTCCCATTTAAATTCTATTGCACGAAAAAGAAAGAAAGGTAGGAGGAAAGAAAAAATGAAAAAAAATTTCAAATTCATATTTCAGTATGGTTTCAAATGTTAATGAGGAAGGATGTATGATTTTTTATGCACATTTTGTATTTCCCAATAAGGTAAGTTGAGTAGTGTCGGCTAACAAAAATGTTATTAAAAGTAATATAGGTTGACACATTTCAACAATTTGAATTATCTCATTTCGATTATTCATACGTTACTTATAAAATTGTTTCAAATAATTTCAGTTAGTTTTTAAATTATTAAAAATAAATATGTATGTACCTACTTCCAATAAATTTTTTTTTAAATAATTATTTTAAAACTATTTCAAACATGTTATATTGAGTGCTTCAAAAATTTTGCTGTGCTCTTTTTTCATATTTTATTAGCAGATAAACAAGAGCAATCTATTTATAAAATGTCCCTGCATGTGTATGTATGACCTATCTTAATTCTAAACGGAAAGAATTTTAAAATGCCTGAACAAAAATTTTAAAATACCTGTTATTTTACAGTCGGAATTTTCGAGTCATTTGGTAAAATACCATTTATTTCAAAAATAGAAAAATATTCAAATCCGGTCATAAAAATATATGATTGTTTTTTCCAAACATTTTAAATATTTTTTTTTCTTAGGTAATTGATATAAATGATAGTAAGTTTTTAATATTTTTTCAAATAAAAATAGAGGTAAAATTTTGAAGTTTATATAAAATTTGTATTTAACAAATAATATTTGATTGTATTTTAGATATTATTTTCTAATTCCCTCTTCAATTTTTTTCTTTACTATGTATTTATATCAATATTTAAGAATTATCTTTCATTAATTATATTTTCAACTTGACACCACAGGTACTTCCCATATCTTGCGTTAACTTACCCTATGAGAAAAAAAAAGCTGTTCACTTAAAAATAATGAAATGCTTTCAGTACCAAATAAAACGTTAAAGGCGAAGGTTGTGTTTGTTGCTTTTCCGCTTTTTTTAAATTTTAAAATAATTATCAATGAAAATATTAATATATTTTTTTGATTTTTCAAATATATGTTCTAAATTTTACCTGCTTTATAATAAGTGTGAATTTATTTTAATATTTCTTCTCAAAAAATAGCCACTTCGATTTAAAAAAGGCCATATAAAATAAGGTGTGCTTTCAAGTTTCTCTCTGAGCATTGGGACTTGTTAGATATAAAGACATTATACATATTCATTTCCCGTTTTTCCTCGTTATTTTACTTTCAAGGTAGTAAAAGTTTTAATATATCTTGCTTTCGTTTTTCTTGCGGTATGGCATGATTTTTAGATAGAACAAAAAATTGTTCTCTGTTGTGATATTATAGCGATACAATATCCGTATTACATACTTTCAAATTAAGCTTAAAAAGAGGAATCAGTCTAATTTGTCGACTCGACATTAGTTATTAATTTAAATTCAACAATAGTTACTTACAGAACGAAAATATGAAATTCAAATAAAGAAGGGTATCTTCGGAATAGCATCTACGACGTATCAGACATATTGTGTCATCTTCTCTAAAATATAAACAAAAAAATTTGACGATGTTATTTTTATTAAAATTATTTTCCGAAATTTTGAATGGGAATAAAATATAAAAACAATTCTTAAAGTTTTTTGTTTTCGAAGTATGCCGATTGAAATACTTTTTTTATTTTTGAGTATTCTTTATAATTCTCATTTCATTTAGTTGTAATTTTAAAAGCCATCTGGATTATCATAATTATTTTTTTGTTTTTTTTTTTTTTCAATTTCTTTTCAAATTCTATTTCTTATTCAAAAATTTTACTCGGCATTAGAAAATAATAATTAATAAGTTGATTTTAATAAATTATTATTGTAAGTGGGAATAACTTTCATTTTTCTTTATTCTTCATTTAATTACAATATATTATTACTTACCCTATATCTGGTAGTTACAATGCATAATTTATTTATATGCATATAATTAGGGGGTTTTCATTTATGCACGCTGCGCTGAAAGTCCTACATTAGAACTAAAATTTCTAAGTTACAGCGTTGAACATAATGCAAAAACTTTAGCTAAGTTTTTTTTGTTTACGCAGTAATACAAATTCTGAAACTTCTAAATAATCTATCGTTTGAAAATAACAGAAATGACATTGTTTATGAAATTGTATCCCAATACTTTTTGTTGTAAAATAAGGAAATTTTAACAAGATTTGAAAACTTAGAGAAAACTTACTTTAACAACCCTTCAATATCTGAATATGAGATTTTGAAATTTAAATTTTTTTTTGAATTTTAAATTTAAAAAAAAAATTCATGAAGCAGCGACAAAATTTATACTAATGGTCTGCGCTACATTTCGAACATTTCTTTATTGCAGATTCAATTTCCGAACGCAATTTATAGCAGCTAATAATTTCCGAACGATCTATATTTTCAGTAAATTTTCGATTGTATTACAAGTTAGAACTATTCTAGAACTGAATAAACGAAAACCACCTTAATTTGAACTTTGTACACCCATAAACATATGTTTTTCATCCATATATATTTACTTTTACTTTTACGTTTATTAAATAATTATGAATTATTACATTCAATTATAGAATCAATATTATATGATGTATTATTGTATTTTTTATATTAAGTAATTAAATTTTCTTGAATTGTACTTCTGATACTCAATCGCATCACATCGTGTTTTTTCAGTGCTTAAAATAATTTCTCAAATCACGTTTTTATACCCGTACGAACGTATGTTCGAAGGGTATACTAAATTTGCCTTACCGTTTGTAACGTTGAGAAATAACGGTCTTAGATATAGACTCAAGTGTATGTTTTTGATCAGCGTCAAATTCTGAGTTGATTTAGCTTTGTCTGTCCGTCCGTCCGTCCCAACGATAACTCAAAAACTAACTAAGCTAAGTTCACCAAATTTTCACAAATGATTTACTGTAGTAAGTGCCAGAACCCTATTTAAATTGGACAAAATCGGGGTACCGAACGAATATATTAGTAGGGTCAATATGTCTGATAAAAGTCGTTGAAATTACTTGGCTCCTTCTGGTACCTGCCATACAACTTCAAAAGTTATTTGACTATATCTCAGACACTATAAAAGCTATTGTTTTGAAATTTCACACAAACGAATGTGTTAGTAGGGCCAATGTGTCTGATAAAAGTCGTTGATATTACTTGACTCCTTCTGGTACCTGCCATACAACTTCAAAAGTTATTTGACTATATCTCAGAAACTATAAAAGCTGTAATATTTATATTTTACACAAGCGAATATATTAGTAGGGCCGATGTGCTTGAAAAAATTCGTTAAAATATTTTGGCTCTTTCTGGTAGCTGCCATACAACTTCAATAGTAGTTTGGCACACACACTATTTTGAAAAACACAGTACTGAAATTTTGCATAAATTAATATGGCAATACGGCAACTTAAAGTCATTGTCTGTCCATAGTCAGTTATGGCTTATTTATTCGCACATAGGATACACAAATTCGTACGGGTATCACAGAGTTGACAAGGTCAACTCTATTTTTAGCAACCTGTCGGTCTGTCTGTCTGCGTGTGCACGCGTGTATCTCGGCTGAACTGATTTTGATGAAATTTTATATGTAAGTTTATTTTGACTATGATGACCTCGGGAATTAGATCTTTTAACGGGCCTATTTTACTTTTTTGAAGAAAATATAAAACAGATTTAGTTGAAATTTCATATATAAGCTTCATTCGACCGTCCGCGAAACCTTTCTTAACTTTAACTTTTAGAAGAAATCAGGGGTGAGCAACTTAGCGTTTACTATGGGCCAAATATATATATAGGGACCGATTTCACATTTTTTACCATATCTACGGAACAAATCGATGGAATTTCTTGAAATTTAATATTTGAGCTCTGGTTGTTACCAGAAGTTAATGAGAACTTTTCGTATGATTCAGAAGGCACAAAATGGAACTCTACTAAGAACCCAATTCACAGTTTTCTAGGTATGTTAACCAAAACCTTATTATTGTCCTTAAAATAAAGTTTAAAACACATTTACATAATCTTATGGAATATTTTTACTAATCTAGACAATATACGTTGCGGTCAGTTATGAGCTGATCACATCAGATTTTCTTTAAAGGTTTTCCCAATAGATTTTTAAACCACATTTTTATCTTTATTTAAATTCTTTTTTTAAAGTGCGATTTCTATAATTGCTGTAAAAATTTTTTGGAAAGGATTAATATTTACTAATTTAAATTATTTACCTCCTAAAATTTTGTAAAAATTAAGAACACTAAAATTTATAACTATTTG